GTCAATGAGTCGATGCAATCAGCTGGTTTTCCTTAGATAGAAAACTTTGAATCAATCTGACTGGATGATCTGGTGAACTGGAAAGAGCCTTGAGACGACGTGATGTGAATTGGCGCTATAGAAATAAACTGAATTGAAACTGAAACACAATCAATCAGAGGCACAGCAATAGAATGACATAATGTCACAAGTTTTTTGGAAAATAAAGTTGTTTATTTTGTTTGATTGAGTTTTTTTTTATCAAACAACTCATTCTGTGGTGTAAATCTTTGTTTTTGATAAAGAGGGATCCTGGTCTGTGTAAAGTTCAAAGCCACAGCTTCACAATCCTAAAGGGCTTTTTCTGTTGGTTGGATTAGACATTTTAAAAGCTTTTCTACTACTTATTATTTAACTAAGTCTTATTTTGAAAATCTCAACAGGAAGCATCAGTGATATCACCATAAACTGTCACAACAGGTAATGAACTGGAGTCTGGAGACTGAAGACAAACAGAGCGGAGCCTCACAGACGGGTGGACGTGTTTTTCCCGGGAGAAAAGGAGACGCCTTCAGTCTGCGTGGGGGGGGGAGTCATCTGACTGCTGTGTTCACTTATTTACAAAAGTTTATTTTTGATTTTTTTATTTCTACCATTCTATGTTTGATGGCATCATTATTTAATATGGGATCCCTGTTCTTTATAGTGGTGACAGCATCTTTAACCCATGGTAAGACTATTATTATTATTATGAAGATTATTATTAGTGTAATTTCCAGTGTTATTAGTGTCAATATAATTATTCGTTTTTTATTAATAGTGTTTTTGTTAATATTAATATTATTGTTGTTATTGATGTCATTTCTAATGAGTCTGTAACAGGCAGTAAATCTCACATGCTGACTGTTCTGTAGAGCTGGATAATTGTGGACCAAACAGAACCTTGGTTCTGATCTAGTCTGTTGGACTGTTTCTCTAGAACCCGATTTATGACTGGATCCAATAACCAGGGGCAGTTTTAGGAAATGTGGGGCCCTATGCAAAGACAGGCAGGGGCCCTCTGAATGGAGAAGACATAAATCAGACTCATTCTCCAGATAGAGAAATGTTAATAGAATAGACATCCATTATCTGTTCT